GTCTTTTAGTTTGGAATGGGGAATACTGGTGTAAAGTGTAGAAAAGTCAAATGTTTTTATACTATTGCAAGATGAGAGAGTCTTAGATTGTATGTTCTCTAAAAGATCTTTGGAATTTTTTAGTATCCACATCTGATTCACGCCACCTCTAGAATAGGCAGTTTCACAATAACTTTGGAGCCCAGCTTTGATTGCTGATAAAATAGATGTTAATAATTTAGAAAGAAATTTCGTGGAGCACTTGGAAGACCCAGCAATATACCGTTGTTTGTAAGGACACTTATGTAGTTTAGGATCCAATACAGTGATGGAACATCCAGTTCTTCATCTTTGGTTGAAATTCCAGGATTTCCTCTTTGGTAAGTGTCGTGAGGCATCATTTACAACAATATTATGCACAATATGATTGGAAAAAAGAAAAACTAGATCCTAATATGATACTATCATATTATGGACAGGATCAGAGCCTAACACATCATGTGTCTTACATAACTATTACAATAATTTCATAATAATTAAATATTATTTTATATATTTTGTATCCACCTGGATCTTATTTCTAAACACTTAATAATATAATTGCCTAGGCACATAAGACATGTAAGAGTTGGTAAATGCTCATTTATGAAAAGCCAGAAATATTTTTTATCCTTGAGTAATTCTTTAAAATTAGTACAAAAACTGTTTACTTTATCCCATAATAATTTTCTCTGTTCGTTATATAAAGGACAACTTACTGTAAAATGGGTCTCATCTTCAATAGAATTTGAACCATGTGATAGGCAGTGATGACATAGACGCTGAGTTCTCTCTATGTATTTTTTACTATATCTATCTTTCTCAATTTTAAGATCATGTGCACTTATTATCATTTTACATATAGCTCTTCTTATATTAAAATCTTTAATTAATAAATAAGCCTCCTTTAGGAAGTCAGTCTTGTGGTTGAAATAATTTTCTAATTTACTATTACCTTGTGATAAGGTATCAGATCTTTTGACCACCCAAAATGTTTTAAAACTGTTACAAAGTTTACATTTTACAAATTTAATTAATTCATTGATGAGCTTTGTATTCAAATTTTGTATATCAAGTGATTGAAGTACATATCTCATAGATGAATACCAACAATTAATGTTTCCTGCATCTAAAATGTTATTACAAACATAACCATCATAAAGTAACCCATCCTCCAATTTGTTAAGCCTGTGTACATATTTTACCATAGATATAATGACAGAAAAATAAAGAGGAAATCTTGCAACCTCTGATAACACTGCCAAATTTGAGGCTTTTTTATTTACACCTAGAATATACTTTAGATATCTGAAATGTGATTTTTCCAAATAATCATTTATGTAAATTAATTCAAATAGATAATCATTTTTGTTCTTGCAAGCAGCAGAGTTATCTTAATGGTACCCCAAATTTCACTACAATATAAGAAAATTGGTTTTATTGTGTGATCATATAATTGAATTGCAGTATCAATACTTGGATTACAAGCTGACATGGATTTTTGTAGTTTAAATTTTGCCTTTAAGGACTTTTTGATTAGCTCTTCTTTCCCCCTGCTGAAAAAGACCACTAGAAGTAAAGACTATCCCTAAATATTTATATCTGTTAACACATTCTATAGCCTCATTATCTAAACAAAGTGATTCCTTCAAAAAATTTCCAGGCTTGTTAAAAATTAAAACTTTTGTTTTGGACAAGTTTACATCTAGACACCAATCAATACAATAAGTATGCAGTATATCAAGTCGGTTTTGAAGACCCTGTTTAGTGTTTGATAATATAATAATGTCATCGGCATACATAAGACAATCAATTCTACGCCCATTGATATAAACAGCATCTGGACTCGGCTCAAATCTTGGAGGCAGATCGTTAATGAAAAGCTTAAATAAGTTTGGGCTTAGAACATCCCCTTGGCTTATCCCAACTAGCGAGCTGAATGATGTCGTTAATACATTACCCACTTTCACTGACATTTCATTTTTTCTGTACATATCTTTATTATTCATATGCATGTCCCAAGTCAGAAAAATCTATTGTGGTTGTTTGTTTATGTTTAATGTTTGTTTTTTCCATTAAGGAATAAACTTCTGAATTGATCTCTTTTAAATCAATTTATAATTTTTCTCCACTCTGGATAGTTTAGAGGCTAATTAACAGCTTTGCATATAAAATAAATAGATAGATACTTGTCTAATGTTTAAAACTGTAAGAGTATTTGTGTCCACATTCTTCCATTTCTTTGACTTTGGGTGACTGTCCTAAACCCCATATAAGAGACAAGAGAAGAGAAGAGATATATATGTTGTGTACAAGTTATCATTTTGTACAAATTATAATTTGTACAAAAAAATTGTACAAATTATAATTTGTATTTTGACTTTGTACAAATTGCAATTTGTACAAAAAGTGCTTGTACAAATTACAATTTGTACAAAATTTGACTTAAATTCACTTATAACTTGTACAATATTTAATAGTATGGATTTTGTTATAAACAAGCATTGATACACACTATAGAATGTTTATTCAATGACCACACAATAAATCCTATTTACAAAATACAAAAGTACCCAGATGGAGACAGGAAATGTAATTGACACATGCATGCAAGTTAATTCTGATAGTACAATATAAATTGGCCCCAGTGACAATTCTGATGGAATAACAAAAATTGGCCCCAGTTACAATTCTAATAGTATAATAGAAATTGGCCCCAGTGACAATTTGATGGTACAATAGAAATTGGCTCCAGTGACAATGTGATGGTACAATATAAATTAGCCCCAGTGACAATGTGTCGGTACAATAGAAATTGGCCCCAGTGACATTCAGGATGACGCTGACGTTAAGTGCCAGGCCAACAGATCCAAGCCGAATACCTAACTAAGAAAACGAAACAGAAATAATCAGAACTTGCAGTGGGGGATGATGTCATAATACCAATTTCTCAGTATGATCGTGCCCCAACTGATCCTCGAAATATCTTGGGTGTAATTATTGGCTCTGGAAAACTTGGGTACCGCATTGGAACAGCTGTAGGAATTTTAACAGGATATTTGTCGAGAAATCAAATTGAAGCTGTTAAAGACACATCTTTATTCGCCGCAACGGTTTCTGAGCTTCAACTTTCGCTACGTGAAGCAGTTAAGAAGCTTTCAAAAACTAGTGGTAAGGGGTTTCTTTCGTGTAAATGCAAACGGGGGTGCACCACTTCTAAATGTAAATGCAAAAAGCAAAAGATGTTGTGCAATTCCCGATGCTATAATTCACTCACATGCTCAAACAAATGATACAAAACTATTTTTGTATTTTGTAAATATAAATTTGTGTGGTCATTGAATAAAAAATCCATAGTGTATATCAATGCTTTTTTATAACAAAATACATACTATACATTATTGTACAAGTTATAAGTGAATTTTAGTCAAATTTTGTACAAATTGTAATTTGTACAAGCACTTTTTGTACAAATTACAATTTGTACAAAGTCAAAATACAAATTATAATTTGTACAATTGTTTTGTACAAATTATAATTTGTACAAAATGATAACTTGTACACAACATATATATATATTGACCATTAACAATGTGAGATGATCTGGAAATTATAAGATTTAACAGCAAATGGGTAAAATTGTCAGGATTGTTCTAATAAATATATGTGTACAAAAGTCATTCCTTTTTCAATATCTCCCCTGATTACATGTATATACAAATTTGTAAATTTTCAAAAAAATTAGGTTTAACTAATTTTCCTACAGATTTTAATGAAATTTTCATCATTAAACTCAAAAATATTTGTAGTTGTCTATATTAATTTTCATAATTTTGTTTATATCCTAGATTTCCAGAATTTGTAAGTTAAACACATGAACTTACTTATTTTGGTCACAAGTTATTATGTATAGCAATATTGCGACATCAAAACAAAAATTTACATCTATACATCTAAAACATTCACAGTCAAACAATAAAACAATCAGGAAAACCAGAGAGGAATGAGATCAAAATATGGTTTTAGAAAATTTATTGATTTAAAATATTAAATAAGGAAAAACCAATTCAAAGTAATGACTTTTTTACCCTATATTGATTTGTTCAGGAACATATATATTGATATACTGTTCCCAGATTTGTTGTACATCTTTTAAATACTATGGTGATATCTTTGTGACAGGTGTTTCACATTATAGTTCAACAATGTGTACTTATGTCCTAATCTGTTTTGCCTGATACAGCTCTAGTAAATGTACCTAATAGGATGGTTCAATCATGTCAATGTCTACTATATATACATGAAAACAATCATGGAAATTTATGAATAACATTGACTTTAAGTGTGGTAAGGCAGGACACAAACTCATAGTGAAACTTTCAGAACATAAATTTATGTGCAATAATTTAAAGCCAGATGTCATGGGATTTTTTATGTTGTTGGTCCTGCAGGTCTCATTGCACTGATGTTTAATGTTGCCCAAGGCCAGATTTTTTTTTAGGAAAGGGTGGGGGGAGGGCATTGAATAATTGCACTTTAACCATGTAAACACAGAACTTTTCTGATCTTATAAAACACTTTAAGTTGACTTCACATTTGGAATAATTCTGTGCTACATAGTGATATATGTACACAAAATGTATGTTCATGCAAAAAATACAGACTATTTTAAAAATTGAACATCGAAAGGAAAGACAACCGTTTGTTGCCTTCAATATTAATGTGGCATAAACTGACATATGAGATTAAAGCTAGAGTCTAAAGAGTGTTACATGTTGTTTTGTTAACATTTAATTGTCTTACACATGTTAACAAATTGTCAAAATTGTGGCATTTTGTTTACCGCAAAGTGTAATAAATTAACCTATTTAATCATGATGTCATCTCACCTGATCTGACAAAAGAAGAAGCATGTAAACACGTAAACAATATTAGTCATTCAACCGGAAATTTATAAACATCGTACGATATAAATATCTTACCCTAATTTGGTGAATATGAAATCTTCTTTTTTGATAGTTGACCACGATCCACCAAGAAATTCCCGACACCATTGGTAACCTTGCTCTCTATGTGTCTGATATAAAATCAATTCTTTATTTCCACTCTCTAAATGTTCTTCTACGTTCATTTTTTCACACATTCCACCACGCCAAAGTTCACAAACGATATATATGACACGTTGGACTTTATCAATGAACTTAGTCAATATTTGTGGACCATATCTGTAGATAGACATTGCATTAAGATAAGTGGACTTGGATATCTTTACTTGAAGGTTCATATTTCAATCGGTTGAATCTCTAAACTTGATAACGATGTGTGCTTGACTTGTTTTACTCTCGAAATCTATGTCAATGTTTGTTTACAAGTGTGCGCACAAGATTTTATATTGTGTACGTTTTAAAAATAGACTGACTGGTTTCCCTTTGCCCTGGATCATATCGTTTTTATGTTTGAGCCTACTGAAATGTTCATATGAACTTAGTGACACAAAGTGCCAAGAAACCAGCATTCACCCGCCGTTACCGGTCATATCTGGTTTAGCTGGGACTATTATATTATATAGTATAATAGTCCCAGGGTTTAGTTATTAAGTCGGTTAAAATCTGTTTACAAAGTTTTTAATTGTAATCTGTGTGCCGACTTTGAGAATAAAAGTTAAGCAGAGACCTATATACTAAATTTATATGTCTCTGGTTAAGAGAGAGAAAACAAAAAAAAACAAGCTAGAGTTGGGACAGTATAATAGTCCCAGATGACAGCAAATTTTACTGACTACAAAATCAAAGACATCTGTTACTGTATGGTATATTAAAAATTAATTTGTATTTAACCAAAGTCGAAATAAATGTTTGTCCTGAAAGGGGGGGGGGGAGTAGGAGCCTTACATGAGGGAGATGTATTCTTGAATCATTTAAAATGATTTCCACAATATTTTAACAGCAAACTTCAAACAATATCCATAATATCATGAAACAAAATAGGCATCGGCCCAGTGGTAGTAATTACAACGGTACCAATTTTCTGCCGACCTGCGACTCTTTTCACAAAAATACTTATGATTAAAATTGATCGTAAGCTATACTAAAATGTATATGACTTACGAGTATTTTTACTCTTAAGATTTTTTGTGAAAAGAGCCGCAGATGTGCATTGACAATTATAATGTTCTTCGGGGTTACTCGATGCCGAAAGATTTGAAAATTCAAAACTTGTACAACTGACGCTGAAGAGCTGATAAAACCAAAAAGGAACTAACATGTAGTCAAATCCGGACAAAGAATCAGAGCTTTGCAGGAGAGAGATATATTCCATAACTGAAAATAATTTCCAAAATTTTATTACAGCAAATTTCAATAAAAAAATATCCGTATTTTCATGCAGGTATCGAAGTACTGAAACTTCATCATTCACCTTTTGGGACGGCCCGTCGCCTACTTTTTTTCCGCGCGAACATATGTTTTTAATTTTTTTTCAAAAAAAAAAATAAAAAAGAAAGATACGATCTTCCTAATCAGCTTAACCTCCAATCATCAAACTGTCATAGTGGTTGAGGGTTGCGCCAGAGGCTATTTTTTCCAATTAAATGATGTTTGCAGTTTTCACCCAAATTTGTCAATTTCCCCCATATCTTTGCAGGTGTAAGATTTCTATCACTGATAAAATTGTTGTGATCAATTTATTAGTTGAAATAAGTCTTTGAGCTGATTTGTCTGGAGTAATGCATTGATACTTTGTGTCGAAAGTCGCAATTAATAAAAAGCCATGAACGATAAAAGATCGACGGACTTGATGTTACGACAAATGTAACATATCTATGGACATATATGACTCTAATGTACAGTAAAAACCCAAATGATACGAGTTATGTTCATACAACACGTGTTTCTGATTGACATTCATCTAGTGCGCTCGTGAAATAATATTTAAAAACATAAATAATAAATTTAGAGCAGAAAGGCCTTTCTAGAACGCTCCAAAACGAACTTTAAGGTCATCTCAGTCTAGTATGTTGAAACCTAAGTTACAACAGCAGACATCGTAAATCACAAACAAAATCACATCAATAACAAAGCACTGCATGGCTGCTGTGTGGGTGGGAATATCAAGGACTATATAGTCAACCAGCAGAGGTAGTAATAAAGAGCTGTGCCATGAGCGCATGATACGCCCGTCGCCCTTTTAGTTCGTTTTTATGGTGTAAATGAATTTATATGACCAACTAGAAATACTATGAGCACTGCTCATATAGACACCCCCCCCCCCCCCCCCCCCAAAAAAAAAAAGAAGACATGCATACCGTGACAGTGGTACCCATTGACACAAAACGACGATTTTTCAACGAATTAAGTTCCATTACTTCACAATGTCATATCAGAAATTTATATAAAAAGAAAAAAAAAAACAACAACAAAAGGGAGCTTATTTCAATCATAATATATAAGCAGTCACCAAATATTCATGAAAACTGCCCAAAGCGTGTTTGAGTGGAAGATCCCCTTTTTTTTATCAAAAAGTCCCAATACTCCAAAACGTAAAATCTGAAATTTTTAAAAAATCGAAAGGGAACTTGTGTCAATATATATAAACAACTCACCACAGTTTCATGATGAAAATTGCTCAAAGCTTTCTTGAGTTTTAGTCAGAAATCTGGAAATCTCCCATTTTTTATGAATAACATCCCACAACTCGGAAACATAAAATCTAAAAATAAAATTGGCGTACATACAACTCGCACTCATGACCAAAATGTTGGAAAGTAAAAAAAGACTATAAAACGTTTGAGAATTAAAACCAATAAGGTTTAGATAAAACAACTAAAACCGTCTAAGATAAACTTTGTAACGACCGTTAAAGCCATAATGGCGAATTAATAATTTTGCAGATATGCTATCAACATTGCCACGATGAACCCTTGCCTCAGTATAAGCAACATTCTATGAAAGTATCTCGTTAGGAAATGCAACCGACTATTACTACCGATTTCAATATGTAAATCTAGCTGCATCTAATATAATTATATAACTAGATTTACATGTAAACTAAAATGGTATACTGTCGGTCTTTTGATAGAAGAAGAAAATTATGCTACTTGTTACATTCATAAATTATAAATGATAAGCTTCACTTTTGTAAAAAAAAAAAAAAAAATGAATGACGAATTATTTTTACATTTGGCTTGTCTCCCGTTGACCATATGTAAAATTCTATCCATCTAGACATTTTGTCTAAGAAGACAATCCATGTAGCAAGTTAAACTGTATAACAACGTTGATTCCAGCAGAATATCGTATAAATTGTAGATTAGTGTACGTCCTAGTTTCAAAACCATGAATTGTAGTATGTCATTGTTTAATTGACTGCTTTTCATAATAATGAAGTTCAACGACCCATTGAATGCAACACACATGTATTTTCATTACATTTATGTATTTTAGTCACTGACCAAAACTAACATTTTACTATAGTGATTTGAAAATAGGGATATGACATTTACAACTTGGTAATGCACAAGCTAGCGTACAGTCAAACCTGTATATAAAGGTTACCAGAGAGGTGACCTTTAAAAAGTGGTTAAAATGCAAATGCGTTACTACAGCGGAGAAAGAAGAGAGAGCTGAGAAAGACAGGTTTTCGCTTAAAACAGGTGACCTTTATTGCCGGTTTTACAATTATATGCAATCCTTAGATGACTTTTCGACACAGTTGTTGAAGTCAGACATGTGTTATGCTTCAAAGATTAATTTGAATTGTATATTTTATTTAAAAAATTCCAGTTTATAAAATAGAGTAGAAGTTACCAAGGCGCCAATCAAAAGCCATACATAAGTCGAACAAAACAGACAGCTAGCACCATGCTTAGCTAAAAGAAGAAAAAAAGGCGAACAGTCCTAAAATCCCTACAACACGAACCACTAGCAAAAACCCAGATGCTCCCAGAGAATCAGCAGTTCTTGCTTTAAAATATGTATTTTTACTAAAAGTGATGTTCCCCCACCCTTAAACAAAATTACCGTAGACTATTTTAGCTGTTGATTAAGCAGGCGCTTGGGAAATGGGCCCCGTTTGTTGTCTGCTTTCTTTATGTTTAATTTTTTATGTAAATATTTTTAACATTTGACCTTATTTTCACTTATCTATTGTTTTCATGCTAGCTCTTATACATACGATATTACAATAGTAGTAGTTAATTATATATGCCACTATTCTTGGAAAAAAAATTGAGTGGTAGCATGTGTCACCGTCGTATTTATTCGAATGATTAAATGTTTGATTTTTCATTCATCAGTTCATTTATTTCATTTATTCCATTTTCTGTTTCATCATACTCATTATGACGTTTGACTGAGACTGACAACATTTCTAATCCACCTCACTGCACAATTTCAGATACACGTCACCACACACATGAACGATTTAGATAGAATAAAATATGATTGCACGTACGCGGGAAAATAAATGTACGCCTTATATATATAGATATTTAGTATTTCATTAACTGAATAACCGCCTTTCTGTGTGGATGCTTAAATGCTAAAACAATATTTGCAGTTAATAAAAGTGGTACCAAAGTCACTGTCTGAAAATTGCCATAACGATATTTTGGTGTACGTCCAGTTCACTGTGACACATGTATAGATTAAAACATAAATATTTACTAGAAAGAGATTTTAAAATATAAAAAAAAAAAGAGAAAAAGAATAAAAGGGGAATCCATGCCCTAAGTGCCCGTGGTTCGTTTATGTCCTTGGATTTTGGATTTGATGCTTTCAAACGTTTTGTATCCTATATTTTTGGTCCTCATGATCACACTAAAGGGGTTTCTCGGAACATGTCATGCGTACTATTAAAATGTATCATTAAAGAATGATTATTTATAGTATCAGAGCTAACGAATGATTTATTAAATAGGTCGGACACTTGTTATCGTTAAGTTATACTAAAGTTTCTGTCTTTTTAGCTTGAAAAAAAGATCGACGATACCAAAAAAGAAAGCAAAAAAGTTAGTTGAAGATAAACTGACAATACCAGGGCAAAAAAGAAAAAAGTACAAAACACTACATAGAAAACTGATCTCAGGTGCTACACACGGGTATATAGATCCTATCTTAATTTCACCTCGTCCAAATGTCCAGTTGATCTATTGTCATCATCTGGCGTCCGCATTCCATCGTCTGTTTATTTTTGACAGCTTGGTCAACCAAAACTGCAAAGCCAATATGAACCAACTATAGATGTCCCCCCCCCCCCCGCATTAAATGTGCTCACAAAGAACATATTACAATATGAGAAAAACAACAAATCAACAAAAAAAAAATAATCAAGTATGCATACAAAGAAAAAGAAAAGCAGTTTTAACATGTATGAACTACACAGTCACACACATAATATATACTATATATATTATACATCTTATATGTTGAGCTTGTAAAAATGACTTCTTTCTGATTAAACAAAAACAAACATTCTTATCAGTGTCAAATCTTAGGTGTGAGTGGTAAACGCTCAAAGGAAGAGATAGGATAAAAAACATTATTTGGCCCTTAAAATAGCAAAAAATATTAAAATATTCAAGCCTTTCAAATTTATAAACGAAAAGGAATGTATAATCTGTATCTTTTAGTGAAGAAATGTCATTTTTGGTCTTAAACATATCGAAATTAACCAACTATTTCAGATAGAATGACAAATATAAACACCAATAACTACAAACTAAAGTCTAGTAGATCTTGTGAACATCTGAAGGGTGTTATCCGATTAATAAAACTTGCTACATATTTTAATTCAAGGGGCTAAAAAGTTAACTTTTCATTCAAGCAGAGACCAAAAAATGACAGGACGGGTATACATAATCTTTGCTTATTTGAATCAACTGTCGAAGATTGTTACAAATTCCGCTAAGTAAAAAACGCTTATATTGACAGTGGGTTAAATGTCAATGTAATCGTGAATAACTTTTAGATACAAAGTATAAGATTGGACATATTGATAGGTTTATCAACACTCGGATTAATTCGCCTTTTTGGAAAATTGAAGACATCCAAATTCCACACCCAGCTGGTATTGTTTAATTTAAAAAAATTCTCAAATAAACATTTAGTCCTTTGTCTTTTGTTGAAGACCGTATCTTGAGCTCTATATTTCTTCTTTGGTAACCTGTTTTGTTTCCTTGTTGACGTATACACCGTAAAGACACATTGTATGCAATGCAGAAATGAGTCCTTTTCTTTTTTAATAGTTTTATTTTTACATCAAAAATATCATTTTCACAAGTTTTGATTAGTAGAAGCCGGAGAGCACCACTAACCTTCGGCAGGAAAACTGACGGTCCTAGTCAGTCAAGATTGGAGTCGAACGCACCTACAAGGTTTGAACTCAAAACCTCAGTGTTAACAGGCGCTCTAGGGATACAGTAGATACACTTATTAGACCGCTAGACCACCGAGAGCCCCGTAGTGATTGGCCAAAAGTTTATAATTGACATGCTTTATCCATGTTCGTTAACTAATATCAATTTTATGAAATACCTCTGATATCTTGTCATACTAAGTTGTTGTATCAGCGGAGTATGTGATCTGCTTTGATAACTGTGTTTGTGTTTTCTTCTTATAACCATTCTGAAATATTTTAAACTGCATTAAATTGTGTTATTCTGATTTGATAGATAATACAAAAATAAGAAGATGTGGTATGATTGCAAATGAGACAACTATTCACCTGAAACCAAATCCCGTGATTATGACCAAATGTAGGCCACCGTACGGCCTTCAACAATGCATGAGAAAAACCACTACCGTATGGTAGGATACAAATTGCCTCCGCATGACAAAACTTAAAACAATTCAAGCTATAAAATAAAGGAAAAACGAGCATAGCACACAGCAATCAACGACAACCACCGAAATAGAAGTTCCTGACTAGGGACCGGCTCATAAGGAATATGGCAGTTTTATTACTCAATAAATTTTCATGGATCTTTATCTAAATTTACGGGCTCTATAAACAACATCACCTTGAAATGTCGGAGTCTGATCTTAAAACCAGTCCGTGTTATATATGAGTATATGACAGTTTTTAAATTACCACCTATTGTATGAACTGCATGACTTCCATCAATGTGTCAAAAACCGTGCTAATAAATTTCAATTGTCATTGCATTGCTGTCATGGTTCCACCTTGTAAAGAATCCCACAGTTTTAATTGTTTTGGTTGCCGCCGACTGATTCCAATTCTATAAGTTTAATCCTATTTAACTGTAGAGGGTTTTGGCAATATCGTCCTGTGCAGGTAAGGGGCAAAGTATCAAACGTTTAAAATGTCTACAGTCTTATTAAATTTTTTAAATAGGATTTAGAATTAGAGTTAACGTTGTTTAGATGTCGAATGAGAACGAACGTGTTTTTGTTTTATTAGAAAAGAAATTAATTGCGCATGTCGTATGTAAACCTCTAAAATAGTGGAAACAAAGAAAACAGATGAGTTTTATACATTCAAATTTCAAAATCTTTTCTTAAATCAATGTTTTTGAAACGAAACTTGTTCTTCGAAAGTATTTTTCTCCCGAAGAAAATGTATAGTCGCAGTTTTACAGTCAATTACAATTCATACTGTAATCAACTGCAAAGAAACACTTTTTTGATATACCGAAAATGACTTGTGACTATTGACATTTTACACGGGTTAACAGTTTTAGGCTTTCAACTTACCCATACAAGAAACTACAGTTACCAAAAACATAATCCTTTCGTATTTGTTGACAGAAAATCATTCTAGCCACACTAGATAATACTTTAGGTTGTGCCATTCAGATTGTGGTCCTGTTACAGTATAGGTTACTTGATAAAAGTTCAAGTTTCAAGTCAACTTAATGTTTCATAAATAGAAAACTATGCCTCATGTACATGTATTAAAATAGAGGTTCCGGTAAGCTTAAGTGTGACGTAAAGTTTACTATTTAAATAGCATATAATAGGTCTAATAACACTGAAAAACACATGTAAATAGAATCCGTAAATGTATGATATGCCAGGTCAGCGATGAAATAAAAGGATACGATACTTAAACTTGAGCTATATTGGAATTGCTACTGTTTATTATTTCATATCGGTTACGAATTAGCTTCTCTTATTGGATAACAAGGAGCCACATGACATTCTTTATTCTTCAGTCTTCAGTAATAATTTCTATCGGTCTTTAACAGAAAAAAAAACGGACCAGAAAACCGGTCGTTAACAGACTTTTACATGTTAATGACCGGTGGGGCGTGGTTTCTCTGTTTAGAGAGATGTCACTTTAATAAACCATTTTCCTGTTTTCAATTTTATATTGAAGTTGTTGAATTGTTTACCGTATGTTTTCGTTAATTATAAAATTATAGAAAACTTTATTTTGTTTTCATATACTGAAAAATTGCACTTAAATGAATGGCAGTGACTTATAGTTATCACTATGACTGGTCTTCACTCTTTCCTATAAAAATCAAACAATATTCGCATTTGTTTTTAACAATTTGAATTTATGAGAATTTTTCCTCAATGAATTAAACATAATAGTTAATAATTACATTGTACATATGTATGTTTCACTATGATACGTTATTTTGATTGGCTAACAGCAAAAGTCTCGCGTCCTTCTGAAATTAACATTCATGATGACACGAGGTCCCACAATAAAGAGCACAGGTAAATTTGATAGAAATCGTGTTTTCATGATCTTAGCTATAAAATGTAATTATAAGTATTGAATGCTTCTTTTTGTAATTTCATAGGGTTGTAAAAGCGTTGACCGTGCGCACATTTTTAGAATGCTTCATACAAAATGTACTTCGGTCAACGCTTTTACACCCCAATGAATTTACAAAAAGAAGCATTCAATTCTAAATTGAAGAACTGGTCATTATCGTCATACATGGACTGCCCGTAGGACAGTGGTATTGACTGCGACAGCGATAATGATCTCGCCTACGGCTCAGTAATTATCGCTGCCTTAGTCAATACCACTGTCCTGTGGGCAGTCCATATATCACGATAATGACCAGTTTTTCAATAACTATTATGAAAATGTTTTTGTTACCTTTCGTGATGAAATATGATTAGTATACCAGAATATAGGAGAGGAGGGGGTTGTCTCTAGCCTCTTAACTCAACATCTAATAATAATAATAAAAGTATATAGTGCGAGCATAAAAATATACATAGTGTAACGTGTTTGGCTTATAAACTTTCTGTTCGTATCCGTTTTCACAGAATCTGAGATACTCCAATATCAATCTTTTAATTAACTCAAAACCTAACTGCAACTTAGAAGCTTTAATAAAAACTACGAAACCAACCTTTAAACTTTGAAACTTAACATAATTAACTTTGTATCAAAAAGTAGTAAAAAAACTATAAGTTCAATTTAACCTTAATTCTTTCACTGACTCCGAGGTCCCAACTGATTTGCTAAACAATTATAACGTTTCAAAAACTATAACAGAAAACAAGCTTCAAAACCATAGGTTCCTGAGACACCTAGTTCTGAGACACCTAGTTCCTGAGACAAATAGTGCTGAAACACCTAGTCTCCGATGCACCTAGTTCCTGAGACAACTAGTTCTGATACACCTAATCTCTGAAGCACCTAGTTTCTAAGACAACTAGTCTCCGAAGTACCGAAGTCACCAGACTATTACAAGCTACCTGTTCGAGGGACTGCGACCATTCCCGTGGGAAATTACAGTTTCAGAACAACCCGGTAGCTTGCAACAATCGTGAAGACTTCTAAACCGCTTGCTTCAAACCACAAGCTTTCAACTTAATCCTAGTGGTTTATCAACTTCTTTATTCTAACTACTTTATTTGATTGTATTTACTTTCCGATGCTTAACCATCAACCGCCAAATAACAAATGAACGAACTCGCAACAACAACAAATGGAAGTGTTTAACGACCTTGACTTGCTAAACAGCCCTTGCACGGTCGGACGAACTCGCACAATGCATCGGTGTGTTTATATACTGCTCTCTTCGAGGTTCGCGCTATAGGTATATAAACACACCGACGAACTCGCACAATGCATCGGTGTGTTTATATACCTATAGCGCGGACCTCGAAGAGAGCACCATAGAAACAACGAGTCTCATAGCAACCAAGGATAATTCCATGTAGTTTTCGTTAACGTATTGTTTAAACGGGTAGTTTATTATGGATTACAATTAAACATTGAATTACAAATATTATTATTGATTAAAAGAGAGAAATTCATTGTTCTTATTCAGTAATGACAAAAAATATTCCTGCCTCACACCATTTTTCATAAAAAATAGTTTTATTTTCAATTTTTAAAAGTGTATTAAACCAAATAGGCTGGCTCATGAAGTATTCCCTTGCCGAACCCCTCTTTGTATATTAAAGAAACTAGAACAATGACCATTATTTATAATACAACTTTCGATATTAAAATATAAAGATTTTACCCAATTACAGAAACCAGGACCAAAGCCTAAGAATTCAAGTGCTTTATTTATAAATGACCATTCAAGAGTATCAAATGCTTTTTCAAAATCTAAAAGGAGTAAAAGTCCAGGTATATTTTCTTCTTCAGTTCTTTCTATTAAGTCAAAAATAAGTCTTGTACATTCCCCAACGTATCTACCTTTAATAAATCCTAACTGTGTTTCACTTAAAATGTGTTTGAGCAAAGGTTTTATTCTATTTGCAATAGATGAGGAACATATTTTCATATCAACATTTAGAAGGGTGTGCATTAGTGTGTTCGCACACAGGATGGTGATATGCATCAAGTGCGGTGAGGTCGTAGACTTAAAACCCACCATCAGCTAGTCCACTTTGTGGATGAAAAGAGAGCCGAGTGCGTCAGTCTCTCCTGCTGGTACAAAGCCTCTACACCATCAAGACTCTTGCAATGCCTTCTCGCGGCAATACACGGCTACTGGGGTCCAGTATCCCAGGCTAAATTGCAAGGGATCTCAGAGCAGCAAGGGCCCTAGAGATGCAGAGTGCAGGCCCGCCAGCGAGTGGATACACCCTCGGCTGGCTCTCATCAACCTTGCCCAAGCTATTGGTTAAATGCCCCAAATACGTTACAGAAACGACTACAGTAGAAAACCCTCTTACTCCTCAACGGCTTGAGATAGAGGTAAACACAAAAACAAAACCACGAGGACAACATATGACGCGAAGGTCGATGAAGTTGTTCTCACCTAAGTATCCAAACAAAATTGGGACTTGGAATATACGAACACTGTATCAAAGTGGAAAGAGCTTGCAGACAGCCAAAGAAATGGACAGATACAGTATTGAAATTTTAGGACTCAGTGAAGTAAGATGGAATACATCTGGCATGACAACGCTAAACACTGGTCATACCATCATTTATTCGGGTAACACAAACGCCACTGACACTCATGATAAAAGTGTTGGATTCATGCTTACTAAAAAGGCAAAGTAGTCTCTCTTAGAATGGAACCCTGTGTCATCTAGAATAATCACTGCCAGGTTTGACACAAAATTTCAGAAAACAACCATAATCCAGGTTTACTCACCAACAAATAATGCAGATGAAGAAGAGAAAGATGACTTATACAA